TTTTGAATTGAGATTTTAATAAAGTGTTCAGAGTAGTATATTGGATAATTATTTTTGATATAATGGAGAAAAGAGGTGGTTGTTTGTGGGCTTGGGAGAGGTTGGAGATTATGTAGGGATAAGAATTTGTTAAAGCATGTTGTATTATCATATATTTCAAGTAGATCTAGTAGTAGGTTTGTAGAAGGTTTTCCCTATAGTGTTTTAGTAGTTGGAGATGAGTTATCATTTTCAGAGTCTTCTAATAGATTTGGAGAGAGAGTTGATAGGTTGGTTGTTTGGATAGATAGAGTGGTTAGGAATAATGGTGGAATGGTTAGTTGTGTTGTGACAAGTAAAAGAGTGTTATTAGAGGTAATCTCAGAAGGATTTGATGAGTTGGTATCTGAGATGTTCAGGATTCCTTCTATAAAGGCACTCACCATATGCTCAGCTCTCACAGCTACGAAGGGTGCCATAGCCTGTCCTGTATGTTGGGTCTGGTTGTTATTAACTTGGTCCTCCGTATAATTTTAAGTTTTTATTAAACAAACTTTAATTATAATTGTTATATGCTTGTATTAAAAGGTTGAATATTTTTGAAATATTGCGTAATATTTTAAATTTACATAAATATTTTTAATAATTACTAAATTACTTATGAATACTTTAGACATATTTAAATATTTTCTATAACTTATAAACATGATAGAAATTTTTAAATAATTAACATATTTTGAAATATTTTTAAAGTATTATATATAAAGAATATTTAATAATACTGATTCAATAAAAATAATGCTCCTTTAACTTATTGAAATATTTTGAATATTTTGAAAAAGCTTCAAATTAAAGTGGTATTCAATAAATACTTAATTTAAATTCTTAACTTTGTGTTTAGCTTAATAAGTCTATTTTAATCTTTTGTAGAATATTTTAAAACATTTTGAATAATTTAAATTTATGTTGTTGCAATATTTTATGAAATATAAAAAAGGCAAACTAATCCTTTTTGATTCACAGGGTCTATTTTTTTAATTCATAAAAAAAGGCACTTTTTTAGATTATAAAAAAAACAGATCTGCTTGTAATTTATATTATACAGAGTCACATAAACATTAGGTGTAGATATTATACAAATATCAGGTGGCAAATAGCTATACAAATATTATATTATAGTTACATTTTTAGTTAGATTATCCATATATTAACGCAGTACTATTGACTATTGAAGCATCGTATATTTGAGGTAAAATTAGTAAATATGTAGATTGCATAAAATATGTAGTCATAGTTATGTAGAATGAAATATATAGTCATAAAATATAAGAACTGTAAATGTTGTATTTAGTGCTCGGCAGAATCAAACAAAAATTTGACAGTCAAATACTTGTTAATACTTGTGATAAAGTCAGACATCAAATGATTGCAGATTAATCAATAGTATATATTTAGCTTTGGTTAATCTGCAATCATTTGATATCTGATTTAAACATAAGTATTAACAAGTATTTGACTGTCAAATATTTGTTTGATTGTGCCGAGTACTAGTTGTATTGATGGAGTTTTGCATTTTGCATGAAATATGTAATCATGGTGCATATAATATAAAAAGAAGAAAAAATCATTTTCAAAAGGTTGGCTTTTTTTTCCTCCTAAAGTAGCATCATAAAAAAACTAAGCTCATAGAAAAATTAGTCATAAGAAAGTTGATTTGTTGAGGTGTTGAGTGTTGAGGTGAAGATATAAGGTGTTGTTAGTAAATTATAAAAAAAGTGGCAGCAGTGTGTGAACAAAATAAAGATAATAAATTCTTATCTGCCTGTGTGGTCGTGAATAAAATAGTCAAGTATAAAGATCAATCGCCAAGTTCAAGTGAGTTAATATCTTTTAACGATAAATGCAAATATATAATTGAACAATGAGTGTATTACATCGAATAAATGAAAATAGAAGTATCAGCTTACCATTTGGATGTGCAGTTGAAACATATATTTTGTCGCTATCTATTATAAAAGGTGTACGTTTTAAATACCAAAGCTGGCAAAAAGTGAATCAAGCAATTCAAAAAAACTTTATTACTCTTAAACGTGAAGAAGGTGCAATTGACTTTAAATGCTGGACAACAGTTAATGGTATGACCAAATTAACAAACCATTTAGATGATGTACTTAAACTTATGGAAATAGAACAAAGATATGTTATTCAAATTCACCAAGGCTTGGCACCTGATTTTTGCATTTGGTATTGGGTTTTTTATTGTACAAGTGATGGTAATTGTCAGCGAGATTGTGGTGGGTTTGGAACTTGTGTATGTAACTGTTCAAATTATAGAATGAAGAATAATTTAAAAAATGGTAATGATATGCATAAATGCAAAGTTCATATAATTACTAAGGTTATGCTTAGTATCGTTACAGAGAGATTTCCTATTCAATTATATGTGGAAGGTCAGCACATACCTACAAATGTTCAGATTCAATATGAAGTAGCTATTACATGTCTTAATCTTAGAAGAAGTGTAAGGGATCAGATTATTTTAAGTCAATGAGCAAATGGATATACTGCAAAAGAAGTAAACCTCAAACTTCTGGCTCCATTTAACAGTATATCAAAAGAACAATTAGAACAGGAGAAAAAACATGGAATCAATATCTGTAATGAAAAAAAACTTCAACAACTCTTAGAACGAAACAATAGATATATTCATAGCAATATAGATCCATAGACTATCTTATATAGATTAATTATATATGAATTAAAAAAAATAGTTTTGTTCTTTATTATTAACAAGAGGATCCAACTACTCCTACAAATTCACTACAACATTATTATCAACTTACTGTAAGTGATAATATGTGGTTAGAACAAGCACGAGATTATGGTTCATTCTGTTTTGGTATTAATACAAAGTATAATCTTAACAATAATTGAGCATCTATTCATGCTTTAGAAGTAGAAGATTGTGGAAATTAGAGTACACCTATAGGATTTGCTTTATCCAATAAGAAAAATATATATATGATAAGACTTGTTATTGAGGCAATAAAGGCCAATATACCTTGTCGAAATGCGAGTTGTAATTATCCTTATGAATATATCACACTACCAAATAATAAAGGATTTAAACATATTCAGCCATGTGCAATTGAATAAAAACTATTTGCAGTAATAGACAAACATCAGCCGACAAAAGCTGCATTAAAACCTATTATTCGTAGTACAATTCTTTGCTGATTCCATATAATGCAAACTTTAAAGAATTATTTTTGAATACAAAAAATTGAGTGGCGCCTACTGTAATCAATACTCTATAAAGTGTATATTATCATATACTTGTTGAAAAACCAAAATTATTACAAAATTAGTTTGCCTGTACCTAATTGTTTTTTTTTTTTTTGAGTTTAGGATTTGCTTGGTTTGGCCAACGAGTATAATTGTACAACTTTTTATATTAATCATGAAATGCTGTAGCTATGTTACTTATATATACATTATACTATTATATAGATATCCACTAGCATTGGCATTTAAAATTATCAGTAGATGCAGAAGTATATTAGAAGCTAAAGAAATGGCGATTGAATATGAAAGTTTTATATATTCCTTCCCATCTCTGCTAAAGTAAAAGCATTTTTTGTACGTAATCTTGAAGAGAATTGGATAAGTCAGAAGTAGATCCTGGGCTTTATAGATGGTGGATGTTTACCAAGTAAGAAATATGAATCTAATGTGAAACTATGGACTACTAACAATTTTACTGAATAAATGAACAGAACTATTGAAGAGTGATATTCAGGTACTCAAACAGTGTTAACCTTTATTGAACAACTCTATAGTATCAAAATTGTTCACTCAAATCTAACAGATAATTGTGGTCAGCTAGTTTTTAATGCAGGGATTGTTATATTCTGGAATTCACGTACTATTAAACATCAAAATGGAGTGTGCAGACTGCAACTAGATGTATTGTATCATATTAATCAAGAAAAGCTAAAAGTGTTACAAAACAATGTTATTGAAGTTCTAGACAATTTCAACTTCTTATATGTACGTATGAGTAATCTATAGCAAAATGTTTTTTGATCTCCTTATACAGCTAATAGAATTAAACTCGAAGATAATGAAGCTTAAGGGGTATCTAAGATGATAAGAAAGCTTGCAGCCAAATATATAGTTCCAATGCGGCCTAATTACTACCTAGTTAATTACGTTACAGGTGAATATACTTGCCTTGACTTTATTTGGCATGGATCATTTCGTGATTTTTGTAAACATGAACATGCAGCATATATTTATGTATCTATAAGATCAAATGAAACTTTAATTGATTAGATAAAAAATGAATTAGTTCAATACTTTTGAAATAAAGAATGAATCATATCACATAGTATGAAAAATAAAGTAATCTATAGTGGATCTATTGAAGAAGCATTTGCAGAAATTTTACATAATTATCAAAGAAATGGTAATGATATTTTTTTTCTGACTGAGAAACAAGCTAGTGAAAAAGATCTTTTTAGGCCAAGTGAACTTCCTAAACAAACAAAATTTTATTTATTATTGTGTTAATCTGCCAAAGATATACTATTGTTAGGTTGTTAAAAGTTAATATCACACAGTCTTATAAATTTTATGATATATCTAACAATGAAATAAATGATCAAATAATCATCAGAAATAAGGTAGGAATTAATTAATATAAGTCAGATTAATACTTTATACTATACTGACTTATATATTTTCTAGCTTTTAGATAATTATAATGATATTTATACATTTAGCAAGGATACTACTCCAAACGATAATAAAACCAATTTTGATAATTCTAACAAGTTACCCATCATAGCCAAAAATTGTAAAAATCAGGATGCAATATTTATACCAAACACTAATGATAAAATTCCAGAGTCACTATTTACTTCTGTTCAACTCAAACCAAGGAATGTAAGTATTATTTGCTTATTTATTTAAAATAATCAATAGTAATTTTTATATTAACTAAATTACTTTAAATAATTAAGCCATTGGTCCCTCTTATGGCTATTGAAAATATGAATATACCACATTCTGTTGAACAGTACCGAACCAAAAGAATATGAAATAACAAACACAAAAGTATATTAGAACATGTAAGTCAATTAGATAAAAAAGAAAACTTTAAATATCTTTTCTAATGTTTAATTATAATCCTCTAGTCAAATTTATATGATGAAAATTCTGAAACTGTTTCGCAACCACGAAGAAAAAAAATTGATAATTCCACTTTGGAAGAGCTCTTTGAAGAACAAGGTATAAGTTGGAATAAAAAGAAATTTGGAAAGGAATATCAGCTTCGAAACATCCGTCTAGATGATGATGATATTGTTAATGCGACCAAGATAATTAGCTAGTTTGATTGCAAAAAGAATAAGACTCAATCTTGCAGTGCAGTATCTGAAACTTAGATATCGATAGTATGAAGAACTAACATAAAACATATTAATATTAATTATAATGTGTATTAAATAGCTTTTTCTACTTATATCTTGATATTATACAAGCAATTTGATTGTAACTTTGAATAAAACAGCATTATAAGCAGTTCAATAAAAAAATACAAAATGCAGATCTGGATTATGTATACTTTCATTATCAAATATTTAAAGTATGTTTTATTATTTTAAGTTCTAGATGTTCATATTTTAAAAATAAATTTAATAACTTATAGTAGACAATATTAAATAAATCAAACAAACTAATGTATCGATTAAAACCTTCACTATTATCATTAAGCAATATTATTAATATAATAATTGATATTATTAATATGATAATTGATATTTTTAAATCAATTTCACAAAGTCAATAAAATTTATTCAACATAATGCATCTTAGTAGATTTTTGATAACATAAGTGCCTCATTCTTAACTTTTCTAGCAGTTTCTTATTTAAGCAATTTCGATTTGCTTTTCTTTTTTTGCTATATATTTAGCAATAATAATTATTAAAGTATTATGTTATTAATCAAGAATTGCTTAATTTACCCTTTCGGCTTTAATATAACAAATGGCAAATTAATATTATTATTCATTTGGTGTAGTATTGTTATTAGCCTACTTAAATTTTGATTCTATCCGTAATCATAATGCAGGTAACATGCATGCTCTTTATTGCTTACTTTTAAATTATTATTAAAAACACCTCAATGCATAGCTTTATTTATAGCATTTAATTTTTAAGATACTTAACTTTTATGATACTAATATTAATGAAGAAAATCTTATTGTGCAATAAATATAACTATGATATAATATTCATATAACTATTTGCTATCTGATATTTGTGTAATATCTATATCTAATGTTTACATGACTCTGTATAATATAAATCACAAGCAGATCTGTTTTTTTTATAATCTAAAAAAGGGGCCTTTTTTTATAAATCAAAAAAATGGACCCCGTGAATCAAAAAGGATTAGATTGCAAAAGCCGTAAAATTATTTATTAAATTTTTCAAAAATTTGCGAAAGTGTTCGAAATACTTTGAGAATTTTGCAAATTTAATTTTCAAATATTTCTCAAAAGTTGCGAAATATTTCAAAATATTTGCTAATTATTTTTGATATTTTAGGATATCAAAATATCTTTCAAAATATTGCAAAGTTTAAAAACCTAGCAATAACTTTTGAAATATTTTGCTTTACTTAAATTGCTAATAACTTGTAAAGTACTAATATAAAAAAATATATGTTTTGAATATCATCGAAATGTATTAGTACAATATACTCTTGGTATGATCCAGGTACATATTTACAATCCAGCTTGTTTTGCAATATTCTGATGAAACTTAAAATATTTCTAAAATTTTTTATAGTATTTCAAATATTTATCTAAAAAAATATTTTGAAATAATTTGTGAAATATTGTGAAATATTTTGCGAATTATTTCAATTTTGAGTTTTCAAAAGTTATCAAAATATTTTGCAAATTATTGCGAAATTTTGTGCAAAATATTTCAAAATTTTGATTTTGCGAAAATTTTTAAAATATTTTGCACAATATTGCATTATTTTTGTGTATCGCAAATTCTTGTGCAATATTTCACACATATAAATTTACTGATATTACTAAATATATATTATTCAAACCATCTCTAAAGTATGTATTTTTTTTTTTTTTTTTTTTTTTTTTTTTTTTGATGTTAATGGTGAGACCTTGCTCTTATCTTTATTAAACTTAATTAAAATTTTTTAC